TTCCTAATGTGTTTTCTTCGCATTTTATTCCTTCTTCTGTGTCCTTTTTTAAAATTTTTCCTGTACCGGAGATTGACTCAGGGGCACTTGACCACTGAGCCACACCCCCACCATTTTTGTAAAAAAAAATTATTAAGAGACAGGGTCTCGCTGAGTTGTTTAGTGCCTCGATAAGAGATTTCTGAGGCTGGCTTTGAACTCACGATCCTCCTGCCTCAGCCTCCTGAGTTGCTGGGATTACAGATGTGCGTTCCTTTTGGGTCCTTTAATCACTCTTATCATATTTATGTTCTAGTCCCTGTTATGTTGCTTATTTATTAACTGAACTCCTTTGTACATTATGGAAGCGAACACCTATTCAAGGTTGGTTGCTTCCTGTGGTGCCACAGTTTTGCACTGTGAACTCATTCTCTGTGTGATTTTCTCTCTGAAAAATCCTAGTTCACCAGGGTCAGGTGTTTCCTTTTGGAGTATTTTTGTTGTTAATATGTTGATCTGGAACCATTATTTTGTTAGCTTCTCCAGGTGACGATTCCAGATTGCTGATAGTATTAATTCCATATCAAACCTTGTATCCTAAGTGTTTAATGTTCATCATTAGAAGAAATATTATTTCCTCCCTCTCAATTACAATTCAGGAAGCCCCAAGCTTTTGAGATCTTGCCTTTTTGTGCCCATAGATGGATTTTTTTCTCACCTGTCTTTCCACCTCTATGATTCTTAGTTTTATGAAGGATCTCAATGCCAGCTCCCACTTCATGTGGGTCTGAGACCTTGTCTCCTGCTTCTTTACTGATCTTTAGGTTACACAGATGGGCATCTCTCCCATGACCTCCAGGATAATGGAGAATCTGCTCATGAACTTACAGTTCTATTTGTTAAATTCTTTTCCATTTCTGGCTTTTGGAGATTCACATTTTTATTCCTGTGAGTAATAATACAGCTAAGCCAGAATTTCTAGGTGTTTGTAGTAGGCAGATCTTCATCTCACCTTGTCTGTCACATTGCAGAAACTATAGTGTTTAACTCTGGTATATCTGATAGTTGGATATTAAATGCTAGGCTTCTTTGATATATAGAAATTCCACTATTTATCTTTTGCAATATTTTCCTTTGGCCTATTTTCCTGCCCGGCAAAGCTCCAACACTTTTGTCCTGTCTTTAAATTTAACTTTCTACTTTCTCTGAACTTCACTTATAAAGCAGAGCAAGGCTGGGTGGGGGACCCATCCACGTGCAGGTTGAGACCACTGCATATGCATGACCCTGCCCTATTCTCTACTGAAAGCCTCATGCTGCTCCATAGTCCCGGTTTCCCTTGTGAGTCATCCCTCTCATCCTGCAGCTATTTTAAAACCTTTCCACTCTCCTTACCCTCATGCCAGCCCCTTACAGAAGCATTTTCAGAGGATAACCTTCCTTTCTACCTCCTCAAGGAAATGGAGACCATGAGGCCAGAGTTTTCTCGAATTCCAGTCTATGAACTGATTCATACTGGAAAATCCTTCCCTGTCCCTTCTTCCTGTTATAAGGAAGAACATTCTCTTCCTTTCCACAGAGAGTAACCCTATAATTTATCCTGGAAGCCTGGATACTTTTGAAAGTGAAAGAGGGACTCTATTAATAATTATTCCAGGACAACAGGTGTAACCAGAACTGTCCTGGGAAAACCAGGACACGTGATCACCCTCTGTGCAAAGTTGATCGTCCCACCCGGTCCCTGAACACACCCTGTGCAGACTCAAGAACACATTGCCTTCTCGCTGTATGTTCAAATTTCCTTTCTCATTCCTGATCTAACATTGTTGATATTCTTATAACAATTGCTCCCTTTTTTTTTTAACTCTTTTCCTTTCTCTGCTTAATTTACCACAAACTCCTCTCCATCAGGAGGAGAGACAGCATTCAGTGTGACTCAGTTTCCTAGACTCTACTCCCTGTGTGGCCTCTTTCCCATTTTTCTAAAATGACACAATTTAGGACTTCCCCACAGACTGTTAGCAATGATTAAATGAAATAATCCCTGTAAAGCATTTAGCATCTATGGAACATTTTAAAATGCTAGCCATCTCCTTGCTTATCCTTGTAGAAAGACTCTCTATGTTACACTTGGAATCTTCTTGACATGAGACAGAGGGTAGAATACCTTTACTTTGCCCTTCCAGAGATCCAGCAGTCATTTGGAAAGGGAGTTTAATTCCCCCATGGTAGGATGCTTTTTTCCTGTTTGTTATGACACACCGGGTACAGTGTGTTAACATGCCTGGCATATTTATCCTTGTTAGGTGCTCTCAGGGGCAAAGCCTATCTTTTCCTGGCATGCCCATCTGCAATAAGTGTAGCACAGCATCAAACGGCATTATAAAGCTCTGATTCAAAACAGCCATCACATGGCTATTTGCAGAATTACTACATGACACATACATATATTCATCTGCCCTGACTAATGATCAGGGTTCAGCCTCACCTTTGACCTTCACCACTGCCAAGCACTTTTGGGTTCTTCTAGTCATTTCTCTGTTGCTTTTTCACTGGTTGTGAGCTGACCCTTCCTCTAAATAGGTCATGTCTGCATTCTGTCTTGCAGGACTGTCAACTATTTCTTCAAGTGGAAGTCAACCTTTCAGAACTTCCAGACTCCAAATGGGATTACTGTAATATTCACGTTTTAGTAGTAATTATAATTAGAGTAGATACGATTTATTACATCCTTATTATGTTCCCGAAACTGTGCTGTCACATATTTTCGCTATTTTAATAGGGACTAGAGAGGATAGAAATAGACGTGTGAGCTAACATGATTATCTTACCTACTCTGAGAGGAACTTTTAATATATGAGCTTCTCAGTACTAGCAAGTTTTTTGTTTGGTTGGTTTCGCGTTTATTTTTGGTACTGGGAATTGAACCCAGGGTTGTTGGTTGCTTTCCTACTGAGCTGCAGCCCCAGTCCTATTTATTTATTTATTTATTTTGAGGCAGGCTTTCACTAAGATCCAGTGGCTGTCCTCAAAGTTGAGTTCCTCCTGCCTCAGCCTCCTGAATCACCAGGATCACAAGTGTGAGCCACCATGCCTGGTAGTACTGCTAGCCTATATTAACTGTTAAAGCAATGAGCATTACTGTTTAAATGTTAGGAAGAAAGGAGGCAGTATTTAGTCCTCCTAATGGCATAGTTAAAAATGTGTCAAGACAGGTCTTGCGTAATTGGATTCCAACCAATTAAGATAGGTGATAATTTTCTCTAAGCCAATGTTAAAACATTTTTTAAAAATACCTATGAAGACAGTGGCCTAAATGATTACCATTGTTTTTTAGAGTAGAGAGGGTTTATATTTGATTTCTTAATGGGGAAAATTCTTTTGTGGAATTTCATACCAATAGATAGGGTTAATTCTCCAGTATTCCATGGGAAGTTCAAGGAATAACTGAATCCAGGTAGATATTCAATGCATCTGAATGTGTTTATATTTTTATGTAGCTTTCACTGAAATAACCACATTAATTGTTGCATACTAATCTTCTCTAATTCATAAAATATTAAAGTCACTATGCTGAAAATGTATCTTTTTATGTCCTGAAAGCCTCTAGTATTAACCAACTTCATTCTTCCCTACAATGAGTTAATGGAAACTCTATGAACAAACAGGGCAATGACACACTAAAATGTTGCCTCAATTAGAGGCAAACGTAGGAAATGAGGTCATTAAAGCTGTTAGAGGAAGGGCACAAATCCACTCAGGAAATAAAACCGACTTTAAAAGAGCAAGTAGAAACTGCATGAGTGAGAAGGAGGAGATGCCAGAAATGATGGATTTGGGCCAAAGAGAGTCAGAGGGAATCAAAGAGGAAGCCTTGAAGCCTTTCCTGATTGAACTATAACTTGAGCCAACATGTGGTAGTCCAACATTTTATCCATTAAAGAGAAAAGCAGGAAAACGGGTGGCAATTCCTATAGCCAACACTTACCAAGTACATACAAAGGACCAGACTCTGCTACACACTCGCGATACTTGATTTCATTAAAAACAACAAACCCTACTTTTCAGACGGGAACACTGACAGCCAGAGATGTAGAATCTGTGGCTTGGGACAGGAAGGGGTCAGTACTCAATTTACTCACCCAGTACAGGTTGGGCTGGTAATTCCTACTTTTAAGCAAAATGGGGTATAATTTTAGATCGAGAACCCAAATGGACAAGTGAATAGAACACTATGGTCTGCTGGATTCTGATTTCTCAGTGAAGACCTTTCACACCGAGTTATTGAATTAATTGAATTTTTTTAAAAAAATTGACAACATATCACTATGTTGACAATATATTCCATAATCCACAGAAATAGAATCATTTTTGATGATCTGTTTTTGAGTTGTATTTTTCTCATCCCTTTATGACAGAATACTTCCTCTTTATATCTTTTTTAAAAAGTCATTCGATATGCTGAAAAAGTTGAAATTAATGTCTCCAAACATATCGATGAGGGAAATTTGTCTAAGCCAGGAAGAAGTTTTAAAATGCTGTCCTGTTGTTTTGGTACAACACTGAATTTGGTCAGTAGTCGTCAAAATTACCCGAGATTGAGAGTGATGGATGGAACATCGTTTTATTTTATTTTTTGTACTAGGCATTAAACCCAAGGGTGCTTTGCCACTGAGCTACACCCCTAGCTCTTTTTATTTTTATTTTGAGTCTGGGTCTCACTAAGCTGTTTAGGGCCTCACTAAGTTGCTGAGACTGGCCTGGAACTTGTGATCCTCCTGTCTCAGCCTCCCTAGTTGCTGGGATGATAGTCATAAACTGCTGTGCCTATCAGAACACAGCTTTTTACACTAGTGAAAATTTCCTTTTTTTAACTTTTCTGTTCTCATAGTATGAACCTCTGGTCAATACCTAGAGGAGTTGAGAGAACTGGACTACCTAGTCTCTTCTCTCTCAAGCCTTCCTAGGCAAACATGAGGCCTCCTGACAGCACAGTGACAGGAAGCCTTGTAGCTTCTTACCCTCGACTTCCAGCTTCACCAGTTTGGAATACGCGGTCCCGAGGCTGTTTTTTGCCACACATCGATACTGTCCTGCGTCCTCCTTTTGCACATTATGAATCCTTAAACTCCCAGATTCAAGAACGGCCACACGGGAATTTTCCTGCCAGAAATAAGAATATAAGTTGGAAAACATTCCTAACCAAAGAAACATTTGCTTATCATCATCATTATTACATAAAAATTATTAGTCTTTATTGGGCATTTATTATGTATAACACACAATATTAAATGCAATAGTGCAAGATGACCTAAATTAACTGTCATAAAAATACAAAAAAAACTGCTTTTGTTACATAGATATCATTAAAATTTGACATTATTTGTTTTACTTTAATATAACAAAGTTTATCAACTTTATAGCTTATTTCAGTTAAGTGACATATGGACCCCTGTGTATTTCCCGTGGAATATGCTAGGCATGGAAAGATGCAAAAATATTCTATGATCTCACTTAGATCATAGCTGTGAAGATGTGAAGATGTGATGTGAAGATGGGAAGAGACAATCAGGGTGCAGTATATTAGTAAATGTGGTGCTAAGACACAAAAGCAGCCCAAATAAGCAGATAAATAATAGATTTCTTAATTGACTAGTGTTCATGGCCGGGGAGGTATTTGTCAAGGTGTTTGTTCATTGATCTTGAGGCTTCTTGCTCCAACTTCTCTCCAGTGTGTGCTCATTTCTTCTCTTCCAAACTTCACTTCTCTCCCTCCTCTCAAGAAATGCCAATTCTCAAGCTTGGATTTTGGTTTCATTTTTTAATTTATCCTCTAAGTCTCAATGATTCAATGTTAAAATAAAGAAATAAATAAATGATTCAACCAAGCAACCAAGCAACCAAGACCACCGTAGATTTGCTTTGGCTTTGCCTCCTTTTCCATCCCTAACATTACTGGTTTCCATCTCTTTTTTTTCCCAAGCCAGACTGGAATGCCCTGCAGTTTGCGTAAATAGGAATAGACATATTTAAGTTTGGTCAGAATGTATATGGAAACATTTTTATACTAGGAGTCTGTCAGCATGTAGCTGAGTGCAAGGGCTTTTGTATTTTAAAATGCTTTATATACACAATGATCACTTACCCTGAGAGCACTGTCCCCCTTGATCCAGGATACGGATGGCTTGGGATTGCCCATTGTAGTACACGGTAGAACTGCCTTTAATCCCTCTATTATTTTTACATTTATGGGAGGACGAGTTATTTTAGGTTCTACAGGAAAACAAAGGTTCAAAATTAAAAAGGCAATATGACTTATTGAATGTAGAATTTTAACTTTTTATTTAATTCTAAATAGTCATTTTGAGAATTATCTTAAGCATATTGTATTACAAAATTCATCAAATACTAAGACAACTTAGTGGATATCAAAAAGAAATCAGTTTAAAAAGTTTGGGTTACACTCCTGCATATTTTCCCCAGAGATCTAAAATCAGCATACTATAGCAACACAGCCACATCAATGTTTACAGCAGCACAATGCACAACAGCTAAATTATGGAATCAACCCAGATCTCCATTAATAGATGAATGGATTTAGAAAAATTGTGCTATATATATATATATATATAATGGAGTTCTACTCAACCTTAAAAAGAATGAAATTATGCCATTTTCAGGTAAATGGATGGAAATGGAGAATATCATGTTAAGTGAAATAAACTAGACTCAGAAATCATCCCCAATGCCAATCCAATAATGAGGACACGGTTTTGAGAAAAAGGAAAAAGAAGGTTTATTGCTTTGCTAGCAAAGGAGAAACACGAGGGACTCCTGTCCCAGAGGCGGTGATTCTGCCCATCATGGGGAACATTTTTTTTTTTTTTTTAAAGAGATGATTCAGAGAAAATGAGATTAGGGAGGAGAGATCAGGAAGGAGAAGATCAAGGAAAAGAAGATCATGGAGGAGAAGGTTAGGGAAAGGGGAATGAATTAGAAGATCAGGAAGGAGAAGGTTAGAGGAAAGAAGATCAGGGAGAAGGTCAGGGAGAAGAAGGTTGGAAAACAGAAAAAAAAAACATGTTAAAGTGACAAGGGATGTAGTCAAAGCTTTAAGAGAACTCCTCTTACAGTAGGAGTGAGAGAATGAAGACAGATACTCTTGTTAGAGAGAGAGAGAGAGAGAGAGAGAGAGGCACGCATGCACAGTTTATGTCTTCCACTTGGAGGCAGGTCATGGTTCCCTTAATCCTACAAGCTGGACAAAGAAGTGTCCATGATCAGAAAGCAACATATTAAGGCTGGAGATTTTAAACGCAGACATTTTCAGCTAGTTATTGATTGGGCAGACTGAAAAAAGTTAAAAGATAAACTTTACTGGATTGGTGAAGGTCAAGGAATTGTGAAGGTGAAGTGGCTAATGGTCCTACTGCAGGGACTGTTAAAATCCTTTAGGATGATGACCTGAGTATAGATAGGGAAGGCTGTTTAGAGTAGATGACACGATGAATAGTCAGAGAAGAGAATGGTGATAAGCCCTCCCTAGAGGACAGATTTTGCACAGGCTTTTACAAACACAGGAGCTCAAAAGTAGCTAAGAGCCTAGTAGATCAGCATTCGTATTCACTAGCCCTGTAGACAGGAAATGGGGAAAATGCAGCACCCTCTACTTAACCAGAAAGTGATTCAGAAGAAACTCAAGATTGCAATGAGGTAAAAGGGCAGAAATGTCCAAAAGGTGCGAGATAAAAGGGTGTTTGGTTGTAACAGAACTATGCTTCCAACTGCACGTAAAGATCCCAGTCAGGGTGTGAGGAAATAAAGATCTGTGTGCCTATGAGAAAGTGGAAGGGGGCAGAGGACTAAGAGGATGGCTTTGGGGTGGTGACTGGTAGCCGGAGTCAGAGAAATAGAATTCACTGGCCTGGAGGCTGGGCTTTGAACCTGAACTTGTCTCACTGCTGAACCTCCAGGCCTGATCCAATTGCACCAAGTCAAGTTTAAAATCAACGGGAGATTCTCTTCCCACTCACTCATCTTCACTTGCAGGGCCCCGCAGCTCTCAGCAGCTCCTCCCACGCCGTTGTTGGCCACGCAGCAGTAAATGCCATCATCGCTGTCCTCCACACTCAGGATGGTGAGGAGCTGCCCGTTCTCCCGGATGCTGTAGCGTGTGTCAAAGAGCCTGCGGGTCACAGAGGGAAATGGCAGATCAAGATGGGTGCATTTTGAGGGGAGGGGGACTTTGACTACCCAATTAAACTAGTGACTTTGTGGAAGTAGAAAAAAGACAAAAAGAAACATGAGTGAATTCTGCATAATAGAATGATGATTGTTGGCAATGCTTTTGAAGGGTGATGGCTGCTGTTAAGACCAAGGGTAAAATTTACTTTACTCAGGATAGTATGTCCTAACAAGAGTCTTTTCCCATAGTTACTGAGAAGAGGCACTAGAAAATGAACACACACACACACACACACACACACACTCACACACACACGAAAATGAACACACATACACACGCACACACGGTGAATGCACTCAGATATTTACAGAAGTAACTAACAATTCATTGAATATTCATTCTTCCATTAAACAAATCTGGAGGGATTAACAAGTGCTGGACACAGTTCTAGTTACTTGGAATACATTAAAAAAACCTGACAATTTGGAAAAAAAGCATTATTTATATTATCTATTTAATTGCATGTAAACAAACTGTCATTGAGAAAGAAATTAGGGCAGCAGAAAGAAATTTAGGCGGAACCACCAATATAAAAGTGAGTTGTAGCTGAGTGCAGTATATCGGTAACTCAGGAGGCTGAGGTAGAAGGATGGCAAGTTGAGGTCAGCCTTGGTAACTTAGCAAGACTTCCTGTCAATTTTAAAAATACAAAAGGCTGGGGAAGTAACTCTGTGATAGAGTGCCTTGGGTTCAATCCCTAATATCTCTCTCTCTCTCTCTCTCTCTCTCTCTCTCTCTC